ATGGCCTTGGTGTTATTACTACTTGGGTGATGCAATTGTTTGTTATGTCAATGATGATATCAAATGTATTGAATCATAATTGTGATGAATGTGAGGACAAAGGAATTTGTATATAAGAAAAGGATTAGATGACAACAAAAAGCTAAGTATTATCTATATAATTATTTATATTAAAAATTTATTATTTTAATCCACTTTTGTAATGCCATTAATTTCAATAATTCTGAAGGTTAATGATTGAAATCAATCACACAAGTGGTAGTCAATTTATAAAAAATTTGTGTTTTTTGTAATGATATTTGTTTTAAATGTGTGAAAAATTTGTTAAAGGATTTTTTTAATTAATGTTTTTTTTAAAAAATATTAGTGAAAATGATTTTGATAGTCAATTTCAGTCCAAAATCAATCATATTTTCTTTATTCCTTTTATGATAAAAAATAAATTTAAACATTTGCTTTGTTTTTATTTTAGTAGATTTAAATAAGCTCAGCAAAAATGCACATGATTTATTTACAAAAAAAAATATCAATTAACTTGTATAAAGATGATTGATTGATTGATTATCAATTAAAAATAATAATAAAAAATATAGGAAATTGAAATTTGCATGCACAACTACTACATACAACACTAATTTTAAAATAAAAAACCTGTTTTACTGTTTTAGTATAATTAACACAAAACAATGATTTTCTTTAATCGTTTTTTTAGAAATAACAATAATTCTCTCTTATTTATTTGTTTGTCAATTTTAGTCTGATCAATTATTATTATTATTATTATTATTTGTAAATCAAATAGTAATTTCAATGATTTTTTTCTTTCAAAAATATCAATAATTTTCTACAAATAAAATGATCATCATTTATTTGTTTATCTGTTTCAGTTGAATAAATCTCAGGTCTCAAGATAATTTATCTTATCCATTTTTAGTAATAATAAATAACTTAATTATTTTTCATGGAACCAGTTGAAGATTTTTATATTTCTGATATTTATTTGCAGATCCATTCAAATTTAATTCTTTTGCTCATCATCACAGGACCAATTTTAGAATCTCTTCAATTTTAAAATAAATTAATACCTACAAAGTGAACATAAAATTATAAAATTATATATAGGGATAGGTGTATATGAAAAATAATAATAAATTATGAAAAATAATAATAATGGTTCTAATGAATATCAAAAAGCTATTGATTTTTTAGAAAAAAGGTGTAATTGTGGTTGTTCTTCAAGAATTCCCAAGGAACAATTTGCAGAATTAAGGGAATCCTTTCAAGCTCTTTCTAAGTCTGAACAAGACATATTTTTAATGGCCCAACTTAAGGCAATGGATGGTGGATCAACAAGCACTAGTAGGCACCTTAAAAAGAAAACCAGATCTAATAAAAGAACTTTCTACCATTGGGATCACAATACACTTCTTTGTCAAGAAACTTATCTCAATATGTTAGGAATTGGTAGAACTTATTTTGAAAATATTAGAAATCATTTGATAAACAATGGTCTCCTGCCAAGAATTCATGGCAATATTAAAAGAATTCCTCAGTGAAAAACTAAAATGGTGATTGATAAAAATGTTGCAGAAGTAGTAAAGAATTTTCTGGAAAATTATGCAGAAGTTCATGGATTACCAAGTCCAGGCAGAAGTATCAATAGAATAACCCAATCAGTTATATTTTTACCAGCTGAAATGAGTTATAAATCAGTCCACAAAGATTTTCTAGCTGGTATAGAAGAAGATAACAAATTGAAATCCTTAAAATATGATGCTTTCAGAAAATTATGACATCAATTAACACCAGAAATTCAAATTATGAGTCCAAGGACTGATCTATGTGATACTTGTCAACATTTTAGAGATGGTTTACATTACAATGCTCACCAAGAAGAAGAAGCTAAAAATTTGCTCAAAAGATTTAAAGAACATCTATCCAAGGCCAAAGTAGAAAGAAATTATTATAATAAAAATACTAAATTAGCAGAAGAACAAAGAAAATTAGTTAATCAACATTATTCAAAGGGTAAAACAAAATATTGCAGTATTGATGCTACTGCTCATTATAGTTATGATTGAGCCCAAAATGTTTATGTGCCCCATTCAGATCAACAAGTAAGTAAAATATGTTACCTTAGTCCATGTAAAGTCCATTTGTTTGGTATTCAAGATGAAGCAGTAAGGGATCAAATTAATTATGTTCTTAATGAAGATGAAATTATAGGAAAAGGACCAAATGGCACACTTAGTATGATCTTTGATGGAATTAAGAAATTGAATAAAGGTGAAAAACATTTAAAGATTACTTGTGATAATGCTGGTGGACAAAATAAAAATAATGTAACAATTTGATTTTATTTGTATCTAGTAATTTGTGGTTATTATAAAAGTATTGAATTGAATTTTATGATTCCAGGACATACCAAATTCAAATGTGATGGTAGCTTTGGTTTAATAAAAAAACTCTATAGGAAAACAAGAGTAGATTGTCTGGGTCATGTGGTTGATGTGGTGAAAAGATCTAGTCCAGCAGGATTGAATAAAACTCAGTGTTATGAAGGTGGAAAAGGCTTTCAATACTTAGATATTAAAGCTATTTTGGGAATTTATTTTAAGAAATTAAATGGTCTGCAAAAATATCAACATTTTCTTTTTGAAGCATCTAATCTTGGTACAGTGAAAATTCAAGAAGTTGTTAATGGACCTTTTGCTGAATTCAATTTATTGAAAACTAAGAAAGCGGCAGGTAGGTGCAATTTTTATTGGTAAAACTTTCTAATATTAATATTAATATTTTTAATACTTGTTTTTATTTAATAGTTATATATATATATATATATATATGTGCAATTAATTATTCAAGTACAATATAATATGGCATGGTGGTGAATAGACTGACAAATATTAGTATTACTTTATAATCAATTCATAAATAGAACGTTTATGCAAATTTCTTTAAGAGACTTAATTTTCTCTAACATAATGACATCAAACATAATTAATGGCACATTAAAAGCAGTGGCAGCAGCAGTAGAAGTAGAACGAGAATGACATAGTGGTGATGGTGGTGGTAATAAACCCTCGTGTGTGTGTGTATACTACACTTTAAATTTTTGTTCGCTGTGATCAATGTTACACATTCCATATAAATTTTGATTTACCCCCAAATTTTCTAATTTTGGTAAAAAACCTAATTTTATTTTGTCACATTTTATATCCAATAAAAATCATGCTGTCAAAATAAAGGTTTTTCCATATATTTTGATTTTTTATAATTCAAGGAACAATCTTGGTTAAATTGGGTAGGTTTGTGTATACCAGAGTGATTTTTTTCTTCAATTTTACATATAAAATTATGCACAAAGATCATTAATTTTATATATGAGTGACACTTGACCCCCTGTAAATCCGCAATGTCCTGCGACTGTTAATATGAATTTGGTAGTTTGTCGCAAAAAAATTTTTAAATTTAGTAATAATATTGGAAAATAAAAATAATTGAATTTAGTAATTGAATTAGTAATGTGTTGCAAAAAAACAAAGTAATTGAATTTAGCAATGTGTCGCGAAAAATAAAATAATTGAATTTAGTAATGTGTTGCGAAAAATAAAGCAATTGATTTTAGTAATATCTTGCAAAAAATAAAGTAATTTAATTTAGTAATGTGTCGCAAAAAATAAAATAATTGAATTTAGTAATGTCTCACGAAAAAATAAAGTAATTGAATTTAGTAATGTCTTGCAAAAAATAAGGTAATTGAATTTAGTAATGCGTCACGAAAA